ATTGTTCTTCCACTCTTTCCCTCCCACCTTTGACCATCCCATTTAATTCCACAAGAGCAAAATATAGCAATTTACATTAATATAGCAATTCTAGGTCTGGGGTCAGGCAAAACTCAAATGTATATACATTTACTGAAAATGTGTGTAATAGAATATTCAAAACAGGAAAATGTACAAACAATAAAAAAGACCCATCACTCCATGACAATATTCTTACATCATTATTATTTTAAATCTATATAATATAATTCTGGGTAATAATTTAAAAATTTAAACCACATGAAATATTTGCTGCAAGGCAAATTACACAAATATGAACTAAAGAGGCTAAAAAAAAAGGTGTGTGTGTGTGTGTGTGTGTGTGTGTGTGTGTGTGTGTGTGTGTGTGTGTGTGTGTCTGTGTGTGTGTGTATAAGTTTTATACATGTAAAGTTTAAATAGCAAAACTAATATTGCATTCTTGGAAAGTATGATATTAAATAACATTGAGGGGGAGTATCAGGCTTGGTGGGTGCTGATAATGAATACTGTATTGGTTACAGTGTTAGGCCTTTTTTTCTAGGTCACAAATTTATATGTAGATGATACAGTGCAAAATTAAGTACAACTTTTACTTTAAAAACTAAAAAAAATAAACACTGATGATAGCTCATGCTGGAAAGGATATGGAATAAGAGTAACACTCTTCTCATTGCTAGTGGAACTACAAACTTGTACAGCTGCTTTGGAAATCAGTAGGGCAGTTTCTCAGAAAATTGTGAATAGATCTACCTGAAGACCCAGTGATACCACTCTTGGGGATATACCCAAAAGATAGTCAATCATACTGAAAGTATACTTGCTCAACTATGTTCATAGCAGTTTTATTCATAATAGCTAGAACCTGGAAACAATCTAGATGCCCTTCAAACAAAGAATGGATTAAGAAAATATAGTACATTTACACAATGGAGTATTATTCATCTGTTGAAAACAATGACATCAAAAAATTAATAGGAAAATGGATGGAACTAGAAAAATCACCCCAAGTGAGGTAACCCCACCAAGAAAGACAAATGTGGTATATACTAACTTATGAGTGGATATTAGCTGCAAAATAGAGGATATCCATGCTACAATCCTCAGACCTAGAGAGGCTAGGAAACCAGGAGGGCTGAAGAGTAAGTAGACATTGGGATCTCCCTGGGAAAATTAAATAAAATATATTTCATGGACAGTGTGTGGACAGATGTGAATGCAAACATGAAGGATAAGGTGGGACAGTGATGGAGAGAGAGGGTATTGAAAGAGATAATTGGAAAAGAGGAGCATTTCAGGGTGAGATAGAGACCTGTTACAAGGGAAATTCCCAGGAATCTACACAATGCCCACAGCTAAAACTGCTAGTAATAAGGCACACATAGTCTGAACTGGCCATTTCCTCAATCAAGGCAGGACTTCCAGTGCAGGGGATTGGGGTATCAGCTCAGATACATAACTTTCAACCTACAGTATGTCCTGCCTATTGGATGTTCTGTGGTAAGAGTGGCTTAGAGATTATAGGAGTGGCCAACCAATGACTAGTCCAGACTGAGACTCACACTACAAGAGGGAGCCCACAGCTGACACTGCCTGGAGCACAAGGACACAGAAGCTATATGGCCCAGAGACCTAGGACAGAACCAAACATGACTGGAAAAAAGTCAATGTAATGATGCCTAGTGATATTCTGCTATACTCATAGATTGGTGCCTAGCCAAGTTGTCATCAGAGAGGTTTCATCCATCAACTGATGGAAACAGATGTGCATACCCACAGCCAAACATTAGATGGAACTCAGGCAATCCTGCTGAAGGTGGGGAGAAAGAATGGTGGGAGATAGAGAGGTGAAGGACATCACAAGAAAACCCACAGAAATAACTAACCTGGGCTCATAGGAACTGGCAGAGACTGATCCAACAACTGAGGAGCCTGCATGGAATTGACCTAGGCCCTCTGAATATATGATACAGTTGTACAGCTTGATCTTCTTGTGGAACTTCTAACAGGGTAACAGGGGCTATCTGAATTTTTGAAAGCTTTTGGGACACTATTCCTCACACTGCAACTTGCTATGCCATGCTTTGTTGACACCCATGGGAGGCCTGCCATTTTCTGGGTAGAAAAGAGGAATGGATGGGGTGGGGGAGGAACTGGGAGCTGTGGAGGGAGTGGAAACTGTGGTCAGGATATAGAAAATAATAATAAATTAATGAATAAATATTAAATAAATGAGACGATAGTAGCTATTCAATGATGAATATGGAATGGGCCTTTTCTGGGTGTTAGACCCCAACCCTTTTTTAAGAAATATAAATAGTTTGGATTCAAATGTAAATACATCTCATTACTGTGGTTTGTTTTTACTTTATATTGAAGAAATTGATGCTAAGAAAATGTACTAAACATATCCAAGTGTTAGTATTGAAGGATAATGAATAATGATGATGATTACCCATAGTACAAATACAGTTAAAATGCTTTATTTATCTTTTACAGGCAGGAAATAAACACCACAACAAATGATGAAGAAAGTTTAAGTAAGAATTTTTCTGTGAAATAAGTTTATGTTTATATTTCTAAACACTGTAGTAACAAATGGACACACACACACACACATATATATATATATATATATATATATATGCAGGTGTGAAATATTTCTGACTTCGAAGCATGTATTTATTAGTTGACTTCAAATAAGAGATTTATTTAGTTCATTCTTCCTTCCCATATAGGAATCATGCTTACTCTCATAAACTGCACTCTGTGCTCAAAGTTCACAATTACAAAACTTAAAGTGAAAAGGCAAATAAAGTTAGAGATGAGAGAAGTTCAAAAACATAATACATTTGTTGAGAAGCTGCAAGCTTACAGAGGTCTCCTTCATGTATTAAACTAAGACATGCATACACACAGTGGCATTACTTTTTATATTAGTTGCAGCTCTGTCCTCATTAAATGTAAAAAGAACATTAAAACACTTCATTTAAGGGATTGCCTCTGGGGCCAAATTGCATGTGAACCTTAATTCATCTACTAGCTTTGTGATTTTGAATACGAAATTTAACATATAGTAGTGTGTTGTTTTTATACATTAGCATAATATGTAATAGCATTATCTAAATTGAAAAGAATTTTCAAGGATTGAGTTGACAACTCTGATGGTCTTAGAACATAACCTGACATATAAAGTACATTAACTATTAACAGTATCATCTATACTGTATTACAATGACTGCCTTCACATATAGCAGCTTTTCAAATATATATAAAAGAAATAACATCTCTCATTAGCCTTCTCTTCTCTAGGAACACTATTCTGAATTTTGTTTCCAATTCCTCTTTTGTCATAGTTTCCAGACAGTTTGATGTTCCTGATTTTTCTGAATAACCTAAGTCCTTATAGAGTTTATAGAATGGACAAGACTGTTTGCATGTCTGGGTCTAGTTCCTGTGGTTGGAGGTGCCATTAAATTCAGAGGTGTAAACCCTATGAGACACCTCTGAAAATTAACACTTTCACTTGTTATTTTACTCTCAATGTTATGCTATTTATTATAGAAATCTCAGAAGAATTAATCATATTATCTCTCACCTAACCAAAATGACATTAACAAACCAAAACAGAGGAGACAACGTAAGCATTTGAAAATAAACAGTTGGAATTTGTCTGTATTTCATTCCCATCATTTTATAACAGCAGTTTAATATCATTATTTAGGCAACAATTTGTGAAAATTGATTTTACATAAAAAATAAAAATTGTTATGTTAAAAATAAGCCAATGCTAAATGGTAAAATGGTTTTATGTTTCTTAATTGCTATTCAGATAAACTGCAAGAGGAAGAGCTATATTTGGAGTTACAACTTACTTTTACTTAAATAATATAATTTACTTAACAATGTTTATCAATACAAGTGTCTGGCTATTAACTCCAATTTTTTATCTTATTTTTCTCATCTCAGTCAGTGAAATTGGGGGAAAATACAATCAAGAACATTTTGCTTTGACACTTCCCAAAACATCTCTGCCAGGTATAAAGAAGAGATCAGGATCTTCAGAATTAAAAGTGCCAGTTCCTGTAAGTATAGAAAAGTGACTTCAAGGCTAAATATATACTGATAGCACTTATACAAACATAAATAAGACATACATAATTTGAGTTTACTATTCCAAAGCAAAATTTTAAATTTATAACTGTATAGAAAACTTGCTCCCCTGTGTTTTAAAAATAAACTTTTTTCTTTCATTTTTGATATTATAATTATACCATATCAATATTACAAAGATAAGAATCTGCATAGGTACTTATCTTCCATAAAGATTGCAGTGATTTGATATTATATTTTGAAATAGTATTCTTGTTGCATTATATTTATGTACTAGTCACATTTTAATCTTGTGTTATAAAAACTTCTCTATAAAATTGTTGAATATTATTTGCTTTAACATTATTAGTGTCTCTGTGTGTGCATAATGTGTGTTTGTGTCAGTGAAGGCACGAAGGTACATAAGAACAGCTTTCAGAAAGTGCTTCTCTTCTTCCACTATGGAATCTAATTCAAAACAACTAGCTTGTATAGTAAGCACCACTGTATGCTGAATTATCTTACCAGCCCCACCAATTTGTTTTTAACTAAAGCATAAAAGTGTAAAAGCAATAATTACACCATTTTCCCTTCCCTTTCCTCTCTCCAAACTTCCCATATCCCTTTGCTATCTTGAAAATTCATATAATTGCTGTTTTACACACACACACACACACACACACACACACACACACTTATAAATTCCCAATTTGTACATGGTTCCCTACACCAGAGTTAGTAGGTTAAGAAGAGTGAACAGGCTCAGTTCAGGAGTGGTGATTCAAATAGATGTAAAATTTAAATCTCAAAATGGGATCTAATTGTAAAAATGTGGAACATCCATTTTTCTCAAAACTGGCATTCATGATACTTGATGGTGGGACATTCAAGGGTTTTATTGCCTCTTTAAAGTGGAGTTGTCATATACCTAGTATCCATGGATAATCCATTGTGATACATAGAGATGTTTAAATGTCTCCCAAAGCAGTTACAACCAATATATTTATTGTATGATCATGCATTATTTGCATAATAATATAATCTTCTTTCTTCCCTACATAGTTATCATTTAATCTCATGACTATTTGATTGTTGGATCTTTTACTGAATACTTGAAACAACATGAAAACTAAGGGCTGGCAAGATAGCTCAATTAGTAAAGGTGCTTGCCACCAAGCCTGATGACCTGAGTTTCATCCCTAGACCCAATTGGTGGAAGGAGACAACTTGCCACCTCAAAGTTGTCCTCTGAACTCCACACAGACACTGCAGTGCACACACACTCGTGCGTGTGCATGCGCACACACACACACACACACACACACACACACACACACACACACAAGAAAACTTCTTTTTATAGATGCTTGATGCAAAGATAAAAATTATGCTGCAAATTAAAATATATAACTCATTCAAAAATACTTATTATTATTCTCCCAAATCTTTTCAGAGGCAGAAGAACATTGAGAAAGGCCAGAAACCAACTATTGCATGGATAAACCAATGTTTCAGAGAACTTTTCCTAAGGCCACCCTTTTCCCTAGCTTTCATTACACAGGCTCCATTCAAATATCTTTATAATCATGAAAACTTTTATATAAATGCAGAAACTAGAAAGTCCAAAGATAATAAAAGAAAATCAACCTTGAAGAAAAAATTCAAGGAAAAACTAACCTCATATGCAATACATCTGGAATTCAAGAAAATGATAACTGATGGTAAACCTGAAATAATCAACCCAGAAAAAAATTCATCAAAATCGTCACATGAAAGTGAACTAGTTGAAAAGTCAAATGCCACTTCAGAAACAAATCTAGAATCCAAAAACTCCAAGATAACCATGAACATATATTCAAGAAATGATAAAGAATGTTTAATGAATTTCAAGAAGACCAATGATGAAGCTTTATTTTGGAAGGAGTATCCATACACAGACTCCAAGAAGAGCTCTGAGGAATTTTTTTTTGATGACAGATCACAGTGCATAAGTAGCTCATATGCGGACTTAATGTTGTTTCTCGATGACTTTAAAGTTGAATCCACAGAGTTTGATGAATGGTCAACAAATTGCTCACAGAACAATGCAAAGAAGCCTTCAAAGAAGAGTGGAAAGAAGGAAAAGGACTCTGATCCTGATTCTGGAGACTCAAAAGATGTAAAGAAAGAAGGAAAGAAAAAGAGAGAATCTAGGAAAAAGATAGATGCAGAGACTACAGATGCTGAATCTGGTGACTCCAAGGGTTCAAAGAAAGAATCAAGAAAAGATAAAAAAGAAAGAAGAGAAGTCAAGAAAAGAAAGGACACAGAATCTACTGATGTTGAATCTGGTGACTCCAAGGGTTCAAAGAAAGGAAAGACTATGGACAGAAAAGGTTCAGAATACGCTGATGTTGAATATTTAGAGTCAAAGGGTCTAAAAAAGGAAAAGAAACATCCAAAGAAAGATGATAAGAAGGATGCATTGTATACCGATTCTGAATCAGATGTAGAGTCAAAGAAGCGCAGGAAAGATGAAAAGAAGGAAACTAAGGGGAGCAGGAGGAAGCCTATTAAAGATACAAAGTCTACTGATGCTGATTCTGAATCTGAGGGTGATACATCGGCAAAGAAAGGTGAAAAGAGAGACAAGAAAATTACAAAGAAAGGAGAAAAGAAGGATGCAAAGAAGACTGTAGAGTCTACTGCAAGTGAGTCTGAAACTGAAGTTAAGAAGGAAAAGAAAGAGGCCATGAAGAACATAGGTAATTATACTGACTCGGCATCTGATGTATCTTCCAAGTCAGGCATAAGAAGAGTTGTAAAGCTCTCAGATACTGAATCTGAAGGGTCAACAGGGGTTAAAGTTATAAAAACGACTGATGATTCAGATGCCACATCCACAGACTCAAAGAAGGGAACATCAGAACTAAGGAAAGGACTCATAACATCATCCAAAAAGACTACTTTCAGAGAAAGGGGAAAAAGAAACGTGGGTAGTAGAATCCCTGCATCAAGAGAAAGACTACCTTTCCCTCCTTGTGAGCCTCTTCGAGCATCACCTAAGACCAAACGTGTCTGTCAGTGCAAGGCTCCTCCTCCACCTCCAAAGCCAAGATATGCTCCTTTGGTAAGTTTACTGTTTAATACTTCAGGACAAGTTGGATTTTGAAGTGACAGTTTAAGTCTAAATATATAATCTAGATAATAATTCTTTTTAATTTGATATTTACTACTATTTAATATTTAACAGTATTCAAATTTGGAGCTTAGAGGCAAGGGAGATTAAATGCCCACTGAAGCAGCTTACCCAAGCTGCCAAACAAATTCTTAAATTTCAACAGAAAAAAACACTTATTTTGACTAGAGTTGTGGAAAGTAGTTTGTGACTTATAGTAAACATTTTACTTACTTGTAATCATTTTACAGAAATGGTTAGCTATACAACACTTTCAAAAAACAAAACTAAATACTGATTAAAACTCCAAAGGAACATTTAAATGAAGCATAAAAACATTTCCTAGGAAGTTGCAGAACACAGTAATTCTCTAATAAACAAAATGCACACAACAGATAAACAGAATACCAAGATTCAGGAATACACAAAATTTACTTATTCTACCTGAGTGGAAACAAAAGGTTATAATAAGCCCTGATTCTTACAACAGAAAACACAAGTTAGCTTTCCTGAAGTGACAGAATCCTGTCTGGTTTCTAAGCATCTTTTTGAGATTAACTCCTCTTCTTCAGGACAAATACTCAGTTGATTTATAATTTCTGCTTTTCTCATCTAAGAGATTGTGCCTTTGATTATCCTTTTCCAAATAGCTTGTATTTTTGGTGGCTGAATGACATGAATATACAAATCACTTTGGAAGGCACTCCTGATGTTGTATCATCTCTTCTGGATCCCTCTAAACTTTGGTTGAAGTGTTATGCAGTTATATAATTTTGGAGCATGCATCACAATTCTATTTTCTCTACTTTGACCTTGTTCATAGTCTGTTCTTACCTTGGTAGAGCTGAGGCCCTCTGTCATGCCAAACATAAGGCAATTGAATTTATCATTTTCAGTTTCATTCCCTGTCATTGTGTTAGCTTTTATCTTGGCCCAAGTGAGGATATATAGGAAGAGTAAAAAGTGAGATAGTACTATTTAAAAATTTCTAAAAATGTAAACATGTTGATAGAAAATCAAAATATATACATATGAAGATTGCAATACTGCCTATATAGAAAAATTATAGAACTAAATTTATAAAATTGTGGTTTATCAAAATATGAAATACCTATATATGTACATATATACATAAATATAATGTATATAAAGTTAAGAGAGAGAAACAGAAAAAATACTATGACATTGAAATAGGAGAAAAACCTGTATACTTGTAGAAAGACTACATGGAATATACATATGTGAAAATATTTGTATTAGTATTGCACAATCTGAAGTTACTGTTATTTTATATTTTATATCATATTTTCAAGTTTGAAGGTAGACTAATAATGTGACATTTATAGGGTTTTAGTTCCTCTGCAAAGAATGGTAACTAGACTAATATTTGGTGATTCTTGCCCCTGAGTGCCAATAAGTGCACTAGAGTGTTTGATGTGTGTACTCCTGAACTATGTCTTCAAATTCTTCAAATTGTAGATCTGAGTTTAGTCCAAGGAGGGATTTAGAAACAATCAAAGTTCTCCTCAATCTATAATAAATAACTTTGTGTTTAGTTTTAATCTTTAACATATCAATCATTCTCTATAACTAATTATACTTCCTTTTTATTTTCATCTTCCAACTTTATTCTTCAGCCTGGA